TCAAGCCCTTTTTCCGATCATCAGAAACTGGCCTAGAGATAAGCCTGTAATGGTTGGCTTGTTGTGTCTACTATCCATTGGGATATTTGGCATTTCAAGCAATAGTATAATACCTCTGCATTTGGCGAAAAGGGTGATGGATCCAGCAGCTTTTCAGTGTTATCCATGGGGTCGTGTCGGATTTACCAGCCTTGTGGCTTCCATTAAAATGGTGACATGCGACGAAGGAAAGAAGAGTTACACACTACATGGTTGTGTTCATGCATTGCTAATTTGGATATACGAGTCTGTGCCAGGTTTAGGAGAGATATATGGGCATCGAATAGAGGAAGCTAAGGTTCCGCTTCTGTCATGGCATGGTTCTCGTCAGCGTATCAACTTCCTAAACTTCCGTGCACAAGAAAAGAAAAAAAAATATCAGAAGGTATGATCATTTTCTTTGCAATTCTCTGTTTTATTTTTTCTACTTAATTATTGTTGTACTTTACAATGCAGATTCGTGTAAGAAATATTTTTGTAAAGGCAATGATGGATAGATATCCGAAATGGGGAGAAGATAAACCGCCTATTGATTTAGATAACATGATAGTTGACATCCTCAGTGATCAGCTAAACGACACATTTTGGGATGTAGTGCCACAACAGAAAAACTCATCTCAATGCACCTAGTGTTCCTAGAGTGGATGAGAGCCACTCCACAAAAAGAAAGAAGGAGAAAGAAACTGCTCCAGAAATGGTATGTTCATCTACATATACTGTAAACTTGAAAGAGTCACCTATTGGCGTAGCTCTTAGCTTCCATGTACATCCTTGTAGCCAACATTTTTCAAAAAGCAGTGTTCGCGTTGATGCAATGACATCAAAATAAAACTTGTGGACAACTGAACTTATCTTCAGATGTGTCTCCAATGCATATTTCAAATCGTAACTCTGCCCCACGTCAAATTTAAATGAGCGCAAATCAGACATACTCATTGGAGACTCTCTTTCTTATGTCTTTCCTGCATAAATCATCTTTGTAGAAGATCCATGAACATCTTCTACATGCTGTAATGGAAGCCCATAAGTAGTAAAGTTTTCATCATCAGATGTTGCTCCATCAGAATCATCGCAGTAATCAAATCGTTCACCCTCTTCGTCTGTATCTTCTTCGTCTTCACTCAACGAGTCATCTCCTTGTATGGGTTGTTTCTGATCTTCACGAGCTCCTTCGCCAACGATTTTTTTCACTTTAAACTCTACACATAGCCGAACGCTCTCGACTTTCCAAAGACCCAAAAATGTATGAAACTGCCTTTTGTTTCCTTTTTTCACAGATGGTGTATTGATGCTTTGCTTGTGTAGATTCTTTTTGGAAAAAGGTACCTCAGTTCCAAGGCTTTTTCTGCAAAATCAACTCCATAATCCACAAATATGATTTTCACAAAGTCCTCAAATCGAGTGTCCTCATTTGCAGAAACTATTATGCTACATCGATCATTATCTTCAAATAACCACTTCGTTTCTAAACTTTCCACTTCCCAGAGACGAGAATCATGTGTTCCATTACTCTCCAATCAATATGATTTAGAAGACACCGTTGTAGATCCCCATGAAAGTGTATCCGAAATTTATGAATGAGAGGAAACATGAAGAAGAAGACGACAAAGAACGTAAACCTAATTGGAAAACATGAGATATGCTTCTTAACTTAAGCCGATTTTTAAATTTGTTTTAACCAGAGGTTTATATTAATTTAAACCAAGAACAAACTGATTTAAACCAAAATATAAATTTAATAAAAACCGAAAATAATTTAAACATAACAAAGTTAAAATAAACCGAAATCTTTGTGAACTTAACCAAAAAATCGAGTGGATAAGTCTGCTACAAAAGTGTGACTTAATGTGGTAATTAAAATTTGCTTTAAAAGTCTGCCATCAAATATGTCAATTTTAAAAATCTGCCACCAAATGAATATAAAAGTCGACCAGAAATTTAAATCTGACAAACATATCTGTCATAAGAATGTATGTCTGTTACTCATTAAAAATTGGTTGAAGGTAATTTTAAATCGGTCTTAAAAATATAACTGATACTATATAAAACTGGCAAATTAAAAAAAAATTGGTCAAATCATTTGATAGTCAAAATAAGATAAATCTATTGTCAACATTAAATCGGGCAGATAAATCAGCCATTTTTAAAAAAAAAATCTAATGTAACTCAAAAGTCTACTACCAAATACACGGAAAATGTAAATTTAACAGCAGGTTTAATTAACAAATTATGTCATGATAGATTTATTTTTTTTGTTAAATAAATCTGCCGACAGAAAATTTGCCAAAATTTAAATGGCAATTTTGTAATATATCTTTTCAATCACAATTGTAAAAAATGGCATTTTCGACCATAAAAATAATTTAGTAATTTTAAACTTTAAAGATTTATTCTAGTAATAACTGAACTAATTTGACTCATTTAAGTAAATTTTCCTAAAAATTAATAACAAGTATTATATAGAAGTGCTATTAACAATGAACAATATTATTACAATCAAACACTTTATATGATGTTTGTCAAATCAAAGATAGACTGCTAACAATCTAAAACATATTGATTTTGTTAACTTAAGCAAACTGAGTTAACTCAGTATGCTGATAACTCAATTCCAACTCACTTGGTCAACTCACAAAAAAAGAAAATCGGATATTATTATCATCATAAAAAAAAAATGCAGACGGCACTTTCTTTCTTCTACAACCACAGCAAAACCTTCATATTCGGTGGCTTCACGGATTCCAGATATTTTTGTAGCACTGCCATTAGTTTCGTCTTTGTCTGAGAAAGAAAATAAATAATGACGGTGAGTGATACTAGTGGTACAATGAATGATAAATATGGTGGGGGTTGGAGAAGAAGGTATAACACATATGTTAATATATAGTCAACGCCTATCATACAAAATCTTTATAAGATATTTTTAGACTTACTTAATTTCATCGACAGTTATAACTTATATCTACCCTTTATACATACTAGAGTGTTTCTCCGGGCTACGCCCGGATAATTTACCTAGCTTTTATTGGACGATGAATAATATCCTAAATTTAAAGAATGAAATTAAAAATAAAGAACCAGTCCTATGTTTTTGTGAGAATTTTGTTTTGTCTTAATTCGGTATTATTTATGTCATTTTAGAAAACTACTCCCTTCATTTTTTTTATATCTGATATTTTAGGATTATACACATATATTTAGAAATATTTAATTTTCATCATTTTTTAATCAAAAACATCATTAATTACTTACCTAATCATAATTCAACCAATAATAAAATATAAAGTATTATATCATTAAAATGTAACATTAATTAATATTAAATTTTAAATACAAAATTAAAAACAGAAAATAATTTGGAACAAAAAAGTTCCTATAAAATGTCAATTAGGGAGTATTATTTATGTTTACCTTTGTTATATGGATGTTTTCACAAATACGTATAGTATGAAGTTTCAATTAAAATATAAAATACTATTCTATCCTTACTTTATAGTTATATATAAATATAAATAATTATATTTGAATCTACATTTTTGAATGTATGCAAAATATAAATCATTTTGTTTTAATTGTAAATATTTCTAATAATAATTAATTCTCTCTTTTTTAATTTTGGAAGCGGAGTAGATTTGTAAATCATTTCCCCTAAGTTTCTATATGAGTAGTTCTTGCATTTCCTGATTAATAGTCACTTTCATTGTCATTTAAAATGATTAAGAGTAGAAGATAAATCATTAGTATATTGAATCTAAAATTTGAGATTACTATTACAAATAGTATGTAAGACATTATTTATGGACCATGCTATAAAATCAGCTTTCTACACCACAAACTAACTAATTGATGTGCATCTATCTTAAGATTTTTTTCAAAAACTTTTACCCACTGGTTAATCTCCTTATTTTTTATTAAGTTTCTTGCTCATATCCTTCCCTAAAGCTTTTTATAGTTAGTAATAAGCTTTTTATAGTTAGGAATATTCCAAACAAAAATAATATTATTTAGTTAAACAATTCTTGTTATTAATTTCAAAAGAATCAGCAATGTAATAAACTTTCAAAAATTATGAAAATATATATTCAAAATAATATATCATTTTCTTTTTATTGTATTAATTTCTAAGAGTATTAGATCTTATTAATTTTCTAGTGAGAACGCCATTATATTAATATCTTATTAACTTTAAAATAAGAAAGTTACTGATATTAATTATTTAATTAATTAATTTATAGAAGATACTACCATATTTTCCAATATGTTTGGGTTATTTGTGTAAGAGTAAAATTGAATTATTCTTATATTAATGTATCTTCTTAAATTTGTCTCATATCTTTTTTTCTCATATTTTGTTAAATCCTGAGAACTATTTAACATTAAGTTTTCACCGGATTTTTTCTTATACCATCAACTAATATACAATTATATTCATGTAGTACTCAGTTTGTGCTTTGTAATTTTTATATTGATTTCTATTATACTTTGACAAAGACTAAATTTTGAAAGTAACATTTTGAAAGAAATTTTCTGTCTGCTGGTTAATAGTTCTGATTTTCCAAAATTATAATAATTTTATATGATAATATGCGTCATTACATGTATATACTAATTAATGACCTAAAGGTTATTGGAAAAAAAATAAGTAGATGAGTTATATAGTTATTACTTTAAAAAAAAAACTATGACAGTAACTAAACCAAAAATGAGAATAAAAAACCATACATATATTATTTTTAATGTCAGCGAACACACAGTTATGGCTTCCGATCCAACATAATGGGAAGTGGGAACTGATCATCTATTATTGCACATTTTAAGT